GCGAGTTCGTTTGAGTCCAGTTCTCCGTGCAACACTCTGCGAGTCTGCTGCATTCTGGGAGAGAACTCGAACGGGGCCGGTGCGTGTAGGGTGGCTAGAGAGTTGGGTGTGTCGAGCGCGCCGGCTCTCCCATGCATCGCCGCGGCCGGTTTGGAAAATCACCGTCAGGGGCGCTCTAATCAGCCTGTATGTGGGAAACGGGTATGCAGACAAAACCAGCACTGGAGACGTACAGAATGTTCAAACAGGAAATTTGCAAAGAAAATATCTACGATAATTCTAGGGGAAGCTCTTTGTTGTTTGAGGCCAGGACAGGAGTATTGCGGACTAAGACGTACCGGGTTAAGTACCAGGAGATGGACACTTTATGTAGTGTGTGTGGGGAGCAGGAGGAAACGGCTGAACACTTAATACTTTTCTGTAAAGGGCTTCACCCAACAGTTAACAGTGACCGGGCGGATTTAATCAAAGCATTGGGTTTTAAAGACAGTGAAGGAAAAATAGACTTTACACGGGTAGAAATAACCAAGCGGAGGTTATCAGACTGGTGGCTAAAATCGAGGCAGGGGTGAGACTTAATCTTGGAATTCAAAACATATAATTAGATTTATAATGTTGGCTAGGTGGCGCAAGCCACCGCCCGATTCACAGGGTTTAGCCAGATCCATCCATCCATCCATCCATTATGCTAGGCTTGCGCAGCTGCAGCGCACTGATTTCCGTGCGGCAAGGCGGGTTGCGACGAGTTCACGCCCGCTTTCATCTGTTCTTTAGCGCTTGTGTGAATTTATTTCAACCGTTCCTGCATGCCCGTCAGTCAGGTGACACGCGGAGACCATGGACATTGCCCCGTCAACCTCCGGCGTAAAGAAAAAGCAGTTCCAGGATGCACGACAGGCTACAGGTCTGCAAAAGAAAAACACACGTTGTTCACAGTCCCGAAGGCCCAGTCCTCTTCTCTCAGGGGGGACAGGAATATTTCGAGGGGAGACTCGCATCTTCAGGAAAACTCTGTGGTGTGCGCACTTCGCTTCCACGAGCGGTACATCAAGCGATACTTCTCTAAAGTATCGCTCGATCCGTTCGATATATTGCTGTATGAGTGATGTTTTGGGGCTCGTAGCGTCCCTGCTGAACACGTCTGCGGCCAGCGTTGGGAAGTACTTAAGTACATTGCACTTAAATTACTACTTAAATTATATTTAGGAAACTTGTACTTTACTTGAAGTACATTCTCTGAGTACGTACTGTACTTTTTTTTTTCTGCTACTTTCCGAGGAAAGTACAATTCCCGACTTCAAAGCACATTCCCCGAATTTGGTTTTGTTAAATTTGTATCACGAAATGACGCTTTGTCAACTCCGAAAAAATACTGGGAGGGATATTCTACTCTCACCAGAAACGTGAGCAGACGACGGACCGCTCCGTTTGTTTTTGGGGGCGGCGTTCCCGTAGTTTTTTTAAACTCTCGCTACTTCTCTGTCGGTCAGCGCAAGCAACGAGCTTTAAGATATCAGGAGAGCAAAATTAATCATAATGTAGCGCCTGAGACTGTGGTGCGAAAAAATTAAATTTTCAAGTCGAAGTGAAAGACAACAGAGGAGGACGTCATTAATGTTTTAAGACATTCTCCTTTGTCTTTTCCTTCTATTTGAAAGTTCCTTAATTTTTTTCGCACCCAAATCTCGGGTGTCACGTTATGATTAATTATCACCAGCTCGCTTGGACACGCATTTTTTATTTTTTTTTTTTTTTTTATTAAGGAGAGGACATTTTTCTATGAGAGCTATGGGGCTGATGTCATGCTCTGTCCTATTACATTTAACCCCCTTGGGTGCTACAATCCAGTGCAAGGGGTGCCAAATTCAGAAGAGGGTCTTCTGCTGTATAGGGGAATGAAAGAGCGTCATGAAAGATTGTGTTAAAATACTTGTACTTTACATTGAAAGTACATTGTACGTATAGTTCTTTACTTCAAGTACGTTAATTGTTCCCAGTGTATTTCATACAATTTTACTTAAAGTACATCACGTCTCATTTACTTTGTACTTTAATTACCTGAAGTATCTTTTAGATGTATTTTACCCAACGCTGTCTGCAGCCTTATTTTCTGAAATCCGAATTTCGGTTCAGCATCCCTTTAAGCTGGTTGCATGCACTTTTCAACACGACTTTATGAAGCTGACTTTTCGCGTCGTCAACAGGAAGGAGCGGGCGTCAGTGACAGACACGAGCCTAGGAATGTATGCATGCATATACAACAATCCTGTGTGAAAGAGGTTGTGTAAAAGACGTAAATAAACTTTGGAATGTTTTTCGTCTTCAGCGGTGGTTCACATTCGCAATCTCTGCCCCCTCCCCCCCCCCCCCCCCCCCCCCCCCCCCGATGATCCCCGTTTTTAGCGTCTGCATGAGAAAATTCGCAAAAAAGCATCGGTTTTGGTGAAATAAATAAACGCCGATAAACATCCGCCGATTTTGTTATAAATAAACAGCCTATGATGTATAATATGTTACTTCGCTCACTCTCTTTTAAAATCGATTTCGTATTTCATTGCTAGTTTTACACGTTGCAAAAACATGTAAACAGCCAAAAATGCATTGTTTGCTTTGTGTCATGACAACTTTTCGCGTTCTTTCTCGCCAGCCATGTCTGCTCTTGAATCACAGGGGAATTGCTCCAGAAGTATCCAGCGTCCTCACACATATTTTAATGTTAAAAGGCCTGAGCCGTTCAGTGTCGATTCATTTGATAGACGAAACACAGCGGCTTGAAACGTGAAATTTCGTCACGGCTACTGATACCTCGGCGGACGTTTCACGTATTTTGAAAACATAGTACACGAGAGAAAAAAAAAATAAATTGCCCCATTTTTTTATATTACCCCGAGAGCGTTGCGGTGAGAAGAGAACGACTTCAAGTGGGGATTTACCTTCGTCGACGCTCCAAAATCGGGTCGACTATCAAATCCAGGTTTATCAGACTTTCATTATGCCACACCAATTAATTTTGTAAAAAAAACACAGCCGACAAGTGGCCGGAAAAAGGTCCGCACGCAGCGCATTTCGGCCCCAGCGCAGCCAAACTGCCGCTGACGCCGCGGTCGGGTAGCATACAGGGCTTCCGAGGCGCCTCCTGGCGACAGATTTCCTTTTGGTGCCGCGCGCCGGCCGCCGCTGGACAGACCCAACTCTCTAGCCACCATAGTATGGTGCCTGGAACGCGTCTCCGACTGGTGTGTTTACCGGGTTCAAAAAAGTGGTCCCTCGATTTCCGCCTGATGACGTCATAGAAGTGTCACGCTGTCGCCTGTTGCGACCCTGGCGGCGCCCCAACAGTTGCGGTATAAGTGGCAGACGCCTGTTCTGTTGCAGGTCGCTTTCCACTGTGACAGTTCACGGAAGTTGCAGCAGCCGGAAGTTGGGACGCCTAAAGGGACGCCGTGACGAAAGCGACACTCGCGTTCGCTCGTGCTTTTCGCCAGCATTTCTACGGCCAACCGCCAGGATCGCGACAGGCAACAGCATGACACTAGGGAGGCTGTAGTGAGGGTGGGCGCAACTCAAAACCTGGAGAGCGTTTGCAATTTAATGGCGGCGCCTGAGGGAGAGGATTCGAGAAAGGATATGCGCCAGTGTTGCCTGCACGAGAGCAGTCGCCCGCTCTGTTGCAACTCTGTTGCTCCATGCGCCTTTCCTCCTCTCGCCTCCCATTGCAAGCAACGAGCGCCTTGGCGCAGCCTCTCTCGCTTCCTTCTCGCTCCGAGAATTGCAAACGTCGAGCGGAGAAAGCAAAGTTGCTAGACAAGCAGCAACGTCCAAGATGGCGGAATTTACCATTTTTCGCGTTAAAAAAATACTTAACCTATCGCAACAAAACTGGCGGCTATGGAAAAGTAATCATTTATACCTTGTGTAAATTATTCAAGCACCTTAATGGGCTTTTATGACCCGAGTTAGGAAAGAAAACGACCCTTTGCCCCATAGACTCCCAGCAAAATTTAGCAATTAAATGGCGTCCATGTCCCGTGATCGCCGATCTAGCAGTTGCACGCACCCTCACTTGAGCCTCCCTACATGACACTCGCGTCAATTGTTGCCACATTGGGACCACTTTTGATGTATGGGCGGGATAGGACGCTAAACACACCAGTCGAAGACGCGATCCAGGCACCATAACCATAGAGCACTATATAGCTCCTACGGAGCAGAGTAGCGCAATCCTTTGAACCTCGTGTTTTGCCGACAAGATGGCCGACAGAGCGGCTCGGCGCGAGTCACGTCACACGTGGTACTCAGGGTTCTAAGAGGCGGCCCGCCCTATGGGAGAATACATGGAGATCGATACAACACGGCTGATTAAAAAATGAACGGCGAGTTCACACCTTTCAAAACTAGTCTGTCATGAAGTTAGTAAAGCACTAAACACTTTGTCAAAGTTTTAATAATATCGGATGCGTGTGCAAATTTTGAGAAGGCAATTTCCAAGGCAATGGCGTTTGAAGCAGACGATTTTTGCTCGCAGCGGAGATGGGCTTTTCGGGTTGGCCGGAGCGGGTCACGTGAATGGTGTGACGTCGCCGTGTCGTCTGCTGCATGATGCCGCTCAGGCAATTTTTAAAAAAAAAGTTACGTCCTTGTATGGCACAAAACTTATCGCATATTATTCTAAAATGTTTCATTATTATGTCAAAAATGATCTCCATTCCGCACATCCCCACAAAACTGAAGAAACAACGATTTTCTCACGTTCTCCATGCATTTCTGACCGCAGTTGGAACCTCCAGGCGTTCGCCGCTAGTCGCCGAGAGACGGCGTTCTAGATTGCGCTACTCCTGCGCTACTCTGCTCAGGAGCAGAGTAGCGCAGTCGCGAGGATGAAACGAACTCGCTATAAGCTTAAATGGTAAAACAAAATTGCTAGATGCCGTAAGCTACCGCCCGTTCCAAAGGGCTCAGTCAGATTCATTTATTTATTCATCCATCCTCTCAAACTTTTGCCACTGCAGCGACCCCTGTAGTAGAATCGATCGATCTATCTATCTATCCATCCAGAGTTTTCCGCACGAAGTCGAAGCAACCCCCGGTCACAGTCCCAGTTTCGCGGCGCTGACATTAGCGTCGCCACCATCAGCGGCGCTGTGCATAGCGTCGCCACCGGCAGCAGCGCTTAGGTGGTGGGGGGCTCTCATTAATACAAAAATACAAATATAAAACTTTGTCCGCTAACAGTAATTTCAACAAAACGTCTTCACCGCACCATGAAAATAAAATGCAATTTATTTTATATATTTCTTTCTGTTCGTTCTGTTTTCGGTCTAAAACCAAAACTCTAAACCGACCCGCTGGCCTCGCCGGTGCCCTGGAAGGCGCCGCTGCCCCCCCCCCCCCCCCCCCCCTTCGCTCTACCCTCGCCCAAATTTGAAACTTCGTAACGGCGGACGGCGGCGTCGGCGGCGTCGCGTGGTTTTGTTTACCCAAGGGTCGTGCGAGCGTAGTTTCGCGCTCCGGCGTTCCGCGCGCCTGTCGAACTCGATGGATATTTTGGTGCGAACTTTCAGAGACTGTTGAGAGGTGCATTTTACGTGGCCATATCCCGATGGTGCACGAACAGCGCAAATGCCAAGACCACAAGTTTTTGTTTGTTCATTTTTTTTTCAAGATAAGGCAGGTGAGTATGTATCTCCCGTACTCAGTTTTATTTGCTCAGCGAACTTACCATTAAACTTCTGCTGCCCATAGCTGTTAGTTTGCAGGCTCGTTCTCGCAGTAAAAACATATGCTTTCCCCCGAACAAGTACGGTTTTAATGAAGTTAATGGTATACACCTAGCTCCACTTCGATTTGTGCACAACTGCTTATTTAAAGTGTAACAATTAGGTTTAATCTTGAAAATGGTCTTTGGCGGTCCTCGAACAGACGGAGGATAATAAAACAAAAGAATGAGGCTTCCTATATATTAATTTGAAGTTTCATTTATTTCTGCATGGTTCCGGGTGCGACAATGGCATTATGTCATTAGTTTGTTCGCTGTAGATGGACATTTGTTTTGTTTTAAATCAGTTTAAAATTTTAAACATCATGACCACATTGTCATTACAGATGCTGGGACATATAGAACGAGCATTTGAACGTCGTCTCAAGGAGGAAGAAAGCTTCGGACACTTCGTGGTTCCGAACAAGTTATCCAGCCTGTTGAGTGCAAACATTTTTCGAAGCTTTATTTCACATTTTCATCTTGCTTGCGTGAGAAGCTTTGAATATGTAAAAATGAAGGTAATGATTGCTGGGGGCCACCTAAGTAGCTTATATTTCTTAAATCAGTGAACAACTTTACTTTCAGTGAACAGCTGATCCAACTTGGCATGTTGAATGCGTAATTATGTGGGTCAATGTGTACACTTGTAAAGATATATGTTAGTGACCATTCCCAAGAAGTGATAGTGATAAAGTTAGTGATAAAGCCCATTCCCAAGAAGGTGCGCGGCCAAGCATGTAATAATGAAGTGATGAGATCGTGCACAGATGACAGAGAGGTGCTGGCGATGTGCAACTGCAGCTGTGGGCGAGGTTGACGAAATGATTTTGCCAATGTTTTATTTTTGCGCGTATGCAGGTGCAGTGCTGTACTTAATTCCGTTTTAGCATCTGTGCAATAAATGTACCTCGAAATATTTCGGTCGCAGCTGTGGATTCCTTACTGGACGGCGGGACGCCTCGAAACAGAAGAACAACGAACACACATGACTACGCACCTTATACAGCTGAAAGCGAAATCGCACATCGTATATTACGTTAGGGACTTTTAGCGAACTGTTACCGTGTTCCGCGTACTGCACTATCGGAGCCTTTGAAACATGCTTTATAGGCGCGCACCCGGAGTGATACCGTGACAGCGGGGCGCGCACTTAAAAGCATGCTTCAAAGGCTCCGATAGTGCGATACGCGGAACACGGTTTGTTAAAAGTCCCTATTATTACACTACCGGGACCGGGCGTGATGCTCAGGAGCCTGGATCCAGGCTCCAGCACGACCCCGAAGCGATCCATACGAGAACCACCCTACAAAAATAAAGAGACGCCATGTTGGATTCTTTACGGCTTGGCTTAGAAACGGCTTCAAAGTAGGCTACTACGTCCCAAACGTGTATATAGAAGTCGTTTTGAAAAGTAAGCCAGATATTTTATTAATAGCATGGTTAGCTCTTAATATAATTTTACAATTTACCGAATATAAAATAATAAGTTAACTCGTTCAAGTAATGAGAGCCCCCCACCACGGACGAGGAATTCGGCGCTACTGTACAAAACTCGACTCCATTGGCCCTATGGAATCCGTCCGGGGGTTGGTCGAAGCAGTCGAAGTCGGAAGTGTGCTCGGGAGGCCTACGCCGAAGAGTTTGCGAGTCCTCGCGTTGGCACGTTGTTTCCAGGTAAATGATGAAATGAGCAGTAGAATTTATCGATTTTAAATTTTCGGAAAGCTTCTTGTCGCGAGCGCATCCGTTACCTGCTGTGGGCCTCTACCGAATTTATTGTCGGCCTTAATGATATGAACGAAAAATAGGGCGTTTGTACGATAGTTCCAACGCAAAAACCTCATGGCCTCGCAAATCCGACCGGTGCAGTTTCAGGCCTTGTATCAGCTAGAAAGCTGTTTTTTTTGTAATAATTTTAATTTTTAAGCTAACAGTTAGTCTCTCATTTGCCTTTTTCACACATGGGATTATCTTTTTGATTTGCAAGTTTAGCGCAGCGCTTTTCCTTTGGTTCGGGGTAAGGGCATTTGCGTAATGTGCCGGTCTCTTGCGGTCGTCCAAGTTTCTGTAAGTAGTGTTACTAATACTAATAAAGGTCTGAATCGATTGGATTGATTTTAGTTTGATGGAAGATGTCCGTTAGCGCACGCTCCGCCGTGATGCAAAAATGAGCATTTCGCTCTTGTAACGCCACCGAAATAGAATAACAATTTTTATTTCACAGACAAAATGCTGTAACTTGAGAAAGAAACAAACAGTATTGGTCCAGAGTAACAATTAAGATTTGTGTAAATATTCGACGGCAGCGGTGTACCGGTCTTGTCCGCTTCCGTCGCCTTGGCAAGACCGGGTCTCGTGTACTGACCTTCGCCGAGAAATGTTAGCGCGTCGCAAGCAGCAAGTTTCCCGCGATCGTTGCCCACCTTGACGGCTCTTCCAAACCTTTTGTCCGTGCACCTCCCGTAAAAGTGCGATGTCGTCTGTATTGAAAATTGCAGTCGCGAGGATGCCGCGGACGTCGCACTCATGACGACCGCCAAAGCGGCTGTAGCCGCGATCCTGGGAGCCGCGATTTTCGAGCTGCTCGTCTTGCTTTGGCCAACTTTTCGTGCATCACGAATTCACTTTGGAGGAGCGCAAAGAAGTGCGCATACAATTTCCAAAAAATTGCGACCAATAAAATAGCTCAGTCAAAGCGAAGTTAACGTTAGGCGCAAGTGCAGTGGCGACGACGCTATGACCAGTGTCCGAAATCCTAGCTTGATCGATAAAAATGGGAAATAATAAACTCAAGCGCAGGCTCATTTATGCGCAGAGCATTTTATGCTCTGCGCATAAAACACGATTTTTGCTTTTTTACAGCCCTCTTGGCGTTGGTGTTGTTCTTGGAGCTTCGTGACTATGCATTTCTGACGTTCTTGCACCATGATATGTGCGAAGGTTTCTAAAAACAAAAAAAAAAACAAAAAAAGCGGAGTCTTGCGAAAAGCTCGGGCACTGTCATGGCATCAGCATAAACTAACATGGCGCATGGAACAGAGTAGACACTGGCCTATACATGGCTTGCATTGACGTCACGTCTGCCGCCACTGCTCGTACCATTCTCCTGTGCCCTTCTGCAGCATACATTTGGCACCATGGAATTTGTGCTCGCCAAGAACAACAAATTGGATGGTTCCAAATGTATGCAGCAGAAGGTACCTGGTACGGTACCATCTGACATCACGTGCAAGGCATGTATTCTTTGCATACGCTGTCCTAAAACTCCCTATTTTATTGTAGGGTCTATCCTCCCGGCAGCCGGGAGAATAATTTCCGTGGAATTCTACTGGCAGTTGGCTTCCATTGGCGGAGGCAATCAGTTCATCGAATGATGTTTCATCAACAGATTGTTTCATTGACAGCTCAGATTAGCTTTTTTTTTTCTAATGGGCCACTGAAGACTGTCACCGCGAAGTGGCATGAATGGGTGGGCTGGGTAGGTTATCACGCACCCCCAATGATACACGCACGACGAAATGTCCTTACAGCATGCAATTTGCGTAACGAGTGTCGATGAGACATGTTTCCATGAAATGCCAGGAGGATAAGAAAGTCAGTATTGTACCGGCAGTTGTCGCATGATTTTTAACAGCCAATGGAAAGGCGACTGCCGACAGAATTTGGGGGAAATTATTTTCCCGGCAGCCGGGAGAATAGACACTGCCTTATTTTATATCTCAAGGTTTAGATTCTGATGTTTCCTAACCAGGTTGCTTGCATACTTTCTGTGATGTACCGGTTAATTTGGGATAATGCAAGGATATATTTATTTAATCGGTTGGTGTTATCAGAAGCGTGCCCAGTCTGTGGCCTCCCATGCTTCTCTGTGGCTCCCCCGCCTTTGGTTGCATCCGCTCTTGGGCTCAATAGGTCGTGTTCACTCTACGTGGTGAACACACACAATACACTTTCCCTTCTTAGAGGATTAATGCTGCTTTAGGCAACTCGCACGAGTAAAGCTGCCTAAGTTTGGCTGACAAACTCGGGTGGATTCGAAACTTAGACCCTTTAAATTATGCCAAGTTCTTTGTAAGAAGTTTACAGAGTTGGCCATAGTTGTTTTTCTTGTTGGATACGACCATTGCAATAATTCTACCTATCAATTAATGCTTCAGTGAGGTATCAATGTTTCGCTGATCCAGGGTTGTGCGTATTCACAATCATATGCATGTTTTTAATTCCAGCATCTGTACCATGGCTGCACAAATTTTCAACACGCTTGGTAAACTCGGAATTGGTCTAGCTGTGGCTGGCGGTGTGGCTAACAGTGCCTTGTACAATGGTAAGTCTTGCAAAGTCATTGTATTTATATTACTCATTTCGTCTATGATGAAAGGTGTGCAGTCAGATGCACTATTACCTAATACTGTCAGGCACTGAATTTTGCACATCCCCTTTGTTTGAATAGGCACAGGCACCAAAAAGTGTGATGTCAGATTGAATAAACTTCTTTTTCATATGAATCCGTGTGAGCACCAACTATGCCAAATGTTAAACAGATAATTTTTGGTGTAACTGCAAGTTCATGCTGGGGAACACTGAAAGAAATGTCTGAACATTTGAAGCGAAGAAAGAGTACAGCGACGGATGCCAAGCATTGGCACGCGGGCTATTATAAATGGAGGTCCATCACAACAGGATTGCATCCACCTTGGTAATCTCTCAAATAGCTTGGCTCCCCTTCATTTTCCATTCCCCTGTGTTACCGGCTGGACTAGTTCACGTGGTCCCACCGTGCCAGAGCTAGTGCAGCAACCATGTCGGAGTACCTTGTATCCCTCTGGCTTTGTTTACTAGGCCTTTTAATGCCACCTTTAACAGACATTCATTGCCGAGTGTTGGGTCTTGTGGAACCCCACTAACCAAACCTTCGTTCTACCTGAAATACTTTTTGACTACTTGGTCCTTAACTATTTCCTTACAACGGGAACACTGCCTATTTTTGGGAGGTCTTTTCGCAATATTCCTCCTTTTTTTTTCTACAAAATTTTGTATGCTTCTAAAATGTTTTTCAGTATATCCAAGTGTAGCACAATAAATGCTCTTTTTATATATGTAAATATGAAATAGGATCCCAATAAATTATGCAAAATTCAATTTCTGAAAACCAAAATTGTTGTGGCCAATGCAACAAAGATAAGAAAGATGTGCAGATAACTGCAAAAGTTAACAAAAAATTTCAAAATACACAAAATATGCTAAATTTCAATACCAAGAAAGACTGCAAATTGCAGTGCTCTAGATAAAAAAAAAAAAAAAAACTTTTCCAGTTCTGCCACATGGTCTCAACCATTGTGGCATTCATGCCATTTGGTGAAGTAGTTTCTGGATATGGTACAACAGTGAAATGTAGCACATAGGGCAGAAGACATTTGTCTTGTGGTCAACTTCACACTCCTTGGAACACATTGTGCAATTGTCCCGCTTCTTCATTTTGCTTTATTTCTTTTCTTTATTCTTTTTTTTTTTTTGGGTGCAGTTGTTTAGGGGTAGGAGGGGGTCGACATACCCTACATGAAGTGAGAGAATCTGTTGGTCATGCTCCGTCTGGAAGTCCAGCTGATCCAAATGTGCACTTGTGTAGAGTACTTGGGTGGGTTGAGAGAGAATGTCGACAGCTGAGATGTCCATGCAGTAAAAGAAGAGTGTTGAGCCGATGGACACACTTCATCAGGATGTTGTACGATCTAATCAACTGATCCAATTTGTCAACTCCTCGCATATCTGCATTGTAGTCGTTGACAATCTGCGGCTTTTTGATGGAGATCAGTGACCATGTGTCTTTTTTCCCTGTTTTTGCAAGCAACGTGCTTATTGGCAGTATGTACAGTGCTCATCATCTGTTTGACTCTTTCCATTCAAGATAGAATGCATTTTGATCCCCACTGGACATCAGCTCTTTTTGCCTTATTTGAAATCCTGCACACTGCTGCATAGTGCTATCTCTTCTTCTTGGACGGCTATCTCCTCGACGTGTTTGTTCATGATAAATTGCCATCTCCTGGGGAAAAAAATCACTGCAGTATGAAGAAACTCAAACTAGAGTGTCTAATCAAACCACCAAATTCATTGACAACAAGCACAAACTGCCCGGACTTCCATGCAAGACCAGTGAAGAGCTTGAAAACCGAAACCAAACCAAGCGTTACTAACACGCAGTTGTAGTTCCTGGCTTATTTGATGAATCCTTGCTTTCGGGATTAAGATTTGATGATCAGACATCATCTTCCGACTCGCTCGTGCTAGTATGAGCAACTAAATCGACCGCAGACACTCTGGAATCGCGAGACTTGAAGCGCTTCTGAGGAGGTGTGTTGCTTGATGAAGATTCGATGTTGGTAGCACGGAGCGCCCTAGCGATTCTAAACTCCATGTTTGGTTAAGATGAATCGCAGTCTCATGGGAAACAAAAGAGCTATATGGAAGCTGGAACTAAAATGCCTATGGTAACTACCAGATGCTGGAACTTGTCCAGAAACGCATCAGAGGCTTTGCAACGGTGCTCGCAAATCGTTGATTACGATTGATTGATTTTGACGTGTGCGGTACAAAAAGGGTTTAAGGGCTATTCCAGCAATTTTTTGAGCTACCCATACTAACTATACTTTCTGGGTGCCTTTACCCTTTCCGGCCTGCTGTTTAGTTTCTCCAAGTTCAAAATAGTTATTGTGAAATGGGCAAATCAAGGTGATACCAAACCAACATTCAAATATACCCAGGCATTTCAGTGTCATGCTGTCACTGGAAGGCAGGCTTCCAGGTCGAGCAGACAGTTTAGAAAGCACAGTACTCCAGCAAACTATAGAGGGCGCACTGCTCAGGCAAAATAAACGAAAGGAGGTTGTTTTCGTCGCTCAGCACGCGGACCAGCACAAATTCCTGCACTGCGGCGTAAAATCAGTGTTACATTTCAAAACAAAGCGGTTTTTCGATGGTAGAAACCTTCTTCTAGTCAGTGCGTAGGAATGACATGGCAGAATCAAAAAAAATAATTACTGGAAACAATGTTTGTTTCTATGCTACCTACAAGAACCAAGCAGCGATAGCAGACGACAGAGTCGAAACGACCTCCTCTCCTGAGCTTCTTGGCGCTGCCGCTATGCGGCGACGAATTGGTTGGAGTCACGAATAGTGCGCATTTGTTTTGTGCTGCTGTACGAGTGCTGGAGCAAGCTTTCAAAGCTTTCATTTGTCACCATCAAACTTCTAATCAGTTGGGAAGAAATTTTCCTGCCCAGAGAGTGAGCCCCTGCCTGCCAGCAGCATCACTTTTTGATTGTTGCCAGTAGGGACTTTCAGTTTGAAAAGAAGTGCGAGGACAAAAATTAAAACTTTGTGAAATAAAATTATTTTGGCCTAATATTTGGGTTATTAGTAGGGTGTGTACTTTCCGGTGTTTATTTGTGAGAAAAATCGGCGGATGTTTTTCGGTGTTTATTTATTTTCAAAACACCGGTGTATTTCGGTAGAACGTCTCGCGGCGAGGCTAAAATCGGTGATTATCGGTGAAAAAAAAAACGATTGATCACAGACAGAGGGTTCCAATTTTATTCACATAGTTCATACACTTCTTCTCTAGGTAGCAACTATTTCTCACACTTGGTCTAGTAGATGAAAGCATTATAGTATTTGCAAGCATGTAGATGCTTGCATCTACACGCAAGGAACGTGCTGCCGTCATGGCAGCACGTTCCTTGTGGTTCGCAACCCGCAATTATGAAAACGCACGCTCCTGTACGACACGGACGTTGGTAGTGTCTTCCAGGAACCACAGCAACCTCTGAATACATGGCTTGCACCGACATCACTTGGCCAGACACAATGAGGAAAAGGCACGTGAGAGCCTACCCTCTACTGCGTTAATTTTTCCACAAAAGGGGGCCACGGGAGACACAATAGGGGAAAGGCGTATGAAAGCTTAGCTTCCACTGCGTTCACCAGACGCTTTTGACCCCCAGAAAGGAGGGCGGACTGACGCCACCTGCAAGCCATGTATAAACACTGGAAGAATGCAGGATCCACGAGATAACACGTTTGACGAACCTCTACGGGGAAGGGGTTTCGCTAGGTCGGAAACTAGCAACGAGCGGTGTTTTTCGGTTTTAACCAGGGCGAAAATATCCAACCACCGGTGTTTTTCGGTTTTAACCGATTTTATATTTTCGTCACCGACGGATGTTTATCGGTGTTTTTCGGTTAAAACCGGAAAATGCACACCCTAGTTATTAGTCGTTTAGACAATTTGTAGGCAAATCAGGTGACCGTAAAAAGAAAACGCCAGAGTCCTCCTTAGAACGGGCACCAAAGTGGTTTTTGAGATGGTCTATTTATGGCCACATTCCAATCTGAGCTCCAAGCATTCTAAACAACCCGAGGTTACATTGATATGCGGCCAATTTCCCTATTAAAAACAAAATGAAAGATAGTACCACACCCCATTTTCTACTTTTGGGTGCAGAAGGGCGTCGTCAAACGTGTTAGAGTGAATCAGGAGTGATGGTTTCCCGCTTGGCAAAAGGGCCGGCCAGTGGGGGACTGATTTTCGAATCTGCGGATCGCTGGGGACTGGCTGTCGCACGTCCAACGGTGTCTGTACTGAAAAACAGCAAAAGGGGTATGTCGCAATCTTCGATCCTATTTTTAATAGAGAAATCTGCTGGGTATCAATGTAATCTTGGTTTTTTTTAGAATGCTTAGAGCCCATAGGCTGAGTTCTGACCATAAATAAGTGGTCTGAGAAACCACTAGTACCCCTTTAATAGCTCTGTTGAATATTGCGACTAGTCTGATCTGGGACTTGATATGACCTCCTGTCTTGTTTTCACAAAGGCAGGTCACTGGATGAATGATATGGTAATGTCTGTTGAGGACACAGTCCAGTTTTCTCAGTTACTGAGAGGAGACCTTTCTTTACTGAGCAGTGAGCCCTTCAAAGGAAACGAACAGGTCCAGCTCATGTGAGGATGCATACTGGGTTCACACTTTGCCAGAAGCAAGTTCAGTGGAGCACATCACTGCGGTCATTCAAGGTAGCTCTTCAAAAGGGAAAATGGCATCCACTTTACATGATACTGTCTGACAGGAGCTCTGTCTTTCGGTGTTTATTATTTGCAAAACATGGTTTTTAGCCAGCAAGTGGTGCAAAGTAGGGGTGTACGAATATTAAAGTTTCGAATTTGAATCGCATAATCATTCAACAAGTAATTCGATTAGACTTTCGGGGTATTTGAGTTTTTTTTATTCATTTGATTCATTGACTATGAGCACTTCTGGCAAAAATAA